GAACCCAGAGGGGGAAAAGGCGATGCGCGTGATGGAGGCGGTGCACAGGCACCTCAGGCCAGAGTTCATCAACACGAACCCCCCCTCTCAGCTGCCGTCACCCCAAACAACAGGACCTCCCCTCCCCCCCCCCTCCCACACACACACACACACACACATACACGCACGCAACCGATTTTCCACCCCCACCCCCCCAAAACAACACCCAACCACCCATCCCCCCAGGGTTGACGAGTTCATCGTGTTTGAGCCGCTGACCCACCCCGAAATCAGGGACATCGTGGGCCTGAAGACCGCCGCCCTCGCGGGCCGCCTGGCCGCGCAGCGCATCTCCCTCGTGCTGGGGGACAGCGCCCTGGACTACCTGGCTGACAAGGTGGGTGAGAGGTCAACCATGCACGTTTTGTGCACTCATTTCACAGCCCGAAAAGGGGCGTCGGAGCAAGTTTATGAGTCCGACATTATGGGGGCAAGGGGGGTCGGGGGTGTGTCGCTGGTGCTGGGGGACAGCGCCCTGGACTCCCTCGCAGACAAGGTGGGCCGGCGGGGAAACTTGGACTTTGAAAACCTGGACTGTGCAAACTTGGACTGTGAAACGCCCCCAACCCCTTCTGAAGTGCTTGGCGTCTTCCAGGATTTTGTTGTTTTGGGTTGAATGTGTCAGGGTGGGGTGGGGAGGGGCGCGGTCCGCGTGTGCTAGTGCGAGGGGCGCAGCGCCGATCGGGGCCCAGCCTCTTGTTCGTTGTTGGCGCTTCAATGGGACCACCGCAGGTTTTTGAAGTTGCCGGCCGCGGCCACACCCTCGTCCCCCTAGCCAGCCTTGAGATTGGCCCACCCTCTCCCCCACTGATTTGAAAACCGCACGCTTTCCAAACCACCACCACAAACAACCTCACCTGCCCCTGCCTGCCACCAACACCGCGCCCGTGCCCCCTACCCCCCAAACACTCCCCCACCCCAAACAACGGCGCCCGCGCAGGGATTCGACCCCGTGTATGGCGCGCGCCCCGTGAAGCGCGCGCTGCAGCGGGAGCTGCAGACGCGGCTCGCGCAGGCGCTGCTGCGGGGCGAATTCTCAGAGGGGGACACTGTTCGGGTCGAGGCGGGGGCGACCGCAGAGGAGGGGCTCCGGCTGATTCGGGAGGGCCCCGCCGCCGCAGCGGCAGCAGCGGCCGTGGCGGCCGCCGCAGCGAAGAGCGGGGGCGCTGGGGCAGAGGCCGAGCAGCAGCAGCAGCAGCAGCAGCAGCAGCAGGGTGAGGAGGGCGCGGCGGCGGGGCCGGCGGCGGCGACGGCGAAGCCGGGGCGGCGGCGGGTGGTGGTCAGCAGCCGCGGCAAGAAGGTGCCCGCGGCGGCCAAGGAGGAGGCGTGAGCGGCGCGACCGTTCGACTTCCCGTCTGATTTTGGGGCTGGGGTTTTGGCAGGCCCGAGGGGGGCGCCACACCGTGATGGGGGCGAATTTTCGGGACTGCGCGGCGCGAGAGAACGGCGGGCGGCGGCGCCGGCCGATCGGACGGCCGCAGTCGCCGCCCCCCGCGCGCGCCGCCTTGAAAGTGGAGTGTCGAAGCCTCTGCCCGCACCCGCCGCCCGGCTGCACCCAGAGCGACGGGCCCTGCGGCACTTGTGGGCCCCCGCTGGGGTGGGGCTGAGCAGGCCAGCGCCGCAGGGGAGGGTTGCCTCTGCAACTGCCCTGCTCGGGGGCTGCCATGTTGGCCCGTCCCATTGTTATAATTGTGTTGCTGCCATTTGCTGCCCTTGGGGTTTCCGATCCGAGTCGATCGCAGGGCGCCGCACATTTTTCCGACCGCATACGCCCGCCTCCCCGCGGCTGGCCGGCCCGCCCGCACTTTAGGGCCGTCGCTGCAGGCTCCCGCCCTCCCGCGTGCAACCGTCTGCTTGGGGTTGGACGCCCCCACCCCAACAATCCATTTTCCACGTCACCATGTTACAAGCGAAATGCCACAGCAGCCTCGGCGCCTCCGATAGCATATGCAGGCAGGCATGCATGCAAAGGGCCCCTGCCTCGTCTCCGCAAGTGGAAGGGGCAGGCAGCCCTTTCACTCCGGTGCAGTTCGCGTGCGCAACGGATGTGTGCGTGACAGATGTACAGAGAGTGTGTGCTCTTTCCCTCGGCCACACTCTGGGCTGTGTGTCGCATGCAACAGGACTCGATGCGGAACCCTAGCACGCCAAAATCGCAACGCGCGGGTGGAAAACCTGCGCGTCGGCGCAGAGCACGCCGCAAAGGTGGCGGGAAACGGGCGGGCGCGGCCCCTCGCAGCCACTGCCCCCGACAGCGCCCCCTGGATACGCGGGGCTGGCCGACAGCTGGCGGGGCGCGGGCGGCAGGGGGAGGGGGTGGGGCATCTTTGGGCAAGGTGCTGTACAGCCCAACAATTGAACCCTAAAACCAAAAACCCTGAGCGCCTTGGGTTAGGGCCGAGCGCGTCCGGGGTGTGCGGACGAGATCAGTGGTTGCCGCAGTGGGGCCGGGCAGGCGTAAGAGCCGGGGTGGTTCGCTCGCGAGCGCGGCAAAACGTGGAATCCAAAACCCCAAGATCTGATGACGCAGGGGGCCCTGGCCCCGGCAGCGCGCTGGGCGTACCCGCAGCAGATAGAGTGATGCAAGCCGCGCACTCGCTCCATGGCGTTTTTTCCTCTGGGCCCAAAAACGGACCAGGCAGCAAAATCGTGATCACACATTGTGGGCGGATGCAACGGGCCGCCGCGGCGGCAGGCGGCGCAGGCAGCGCGGGCGGGACAAGCAAGGCGGGGGGGCCGCCCAGGGGGGCGCGGCCCAGCCGCGGGCCGCCTGAAAGGCAGGCGGGCAAAACGACAAAAGGGTGGATACAAGGCACCGCGAACGGCCTGCGACAGCGGTGCCGCCGGGGCGGGCGCGGCGCGTGCGACGGGGCGAGGGGGAGAGGTGGCGGCCGCCGCCGCCACGGGCTGGCGGCCCGGCGCGAGGCGGGGCGAGCCGCAGGGTCGGCCGGGGGACGGTTCAGGGTACAGGGG